TCAGCAGGAGAGTGGCAAGAGCCCACTGATAGGGAAAACCCCCTCAGCGAGCACTTGCTCTGTGCAGGGGCGTGCTGAGCAGGCTGCGCGCAAGGCCTGATTTATACTCGTGATGCAGCCCAGGAAGCAGAGAGGGAGAGTCCGCCACCCGCTGGGCCAGCTCTCAGACCGCCCAGTGACCAACTGCATTTGTCATGCAGGACTGCCTGTGGCCAAGAGACCGGCCCCCGGCTGGGCTTGGCCGCCTATGGAGGGAAGCAGGCCTTGCAGGGCGGAGTGGCCAGGCTGAGAGGAGGACAGGGCAGCTGCGGGACTCACGGGCTGAGCTCCAGGGAGGGGGCCGGATGGGGCTAGGAGGATTTCTGTCTCGGGCCTGGAAGAACCGGCTTGGTCTGTGGTCTGTGCGCATTTCTAAGGGCAGGTATTCCGGACGTTAGGAATATTAAACAAGGACTCGTTCTGCCTGTGGTGGAGGGGAAGGAGAGACTGTTTCACCCTCCGAGGGAAGACTGCAGGAGGCAGGGCTGGGGGCTCCAGGCTGTCCGTGGGGCGCTTGGAGTGGGGCTCTGGGTGAGCCTCGAGGCGGCACAGCGGGACAGGTGCAAGCTTAGGTTCCAGCCTCAAAACGAGCGGAGCCAGCACTCCGGAGGGCCCAAGTCAGGAGGGCCTCGCAGTCTTCCCCAACTACTATCCGCGGTGGGGACCATCACCCCACAGCCAGCCAAAGCCTGTGATGCAACTAAAACCCGTGCTTGTCGTTCCATCCACAGGCGCCTGGCCTAGAGGTTAAGGGAGTCAGCTCCCACATGGCCAACCCCACAGTTCAAATCCCAGCCCTGGCAACTTGAAAAAAAGTGCCAGGAACACATGGGTGTGTTCCCAAAGTTCCGACAGGATACAGAAATGGGAAAGAGATTGCGGGGTGAGCATGCCTCACGTTAGGGGGGTGTCTTCTCCCTCTCTCAGGACGAAAGAAGGAAAGGAAGAAAAGTCGCACCAAGAATTTTTTTCTTCCTACGTGTCGGCCACAATTATCCCAATAGTATTAGATTTTACCGTTTATGTTTTTACTTCAATTAACTAAGCCCACATATGTCAAACACAATCAGAACTGATTTTATTTTTGTTGCATATATTTTTTAAACATGTATTTATTTATCTATTTATTTGCTGTGTTCTAAGCCGTCAGGTCTGGGACTCGAATCATGGTCAACCATGTGCGAGTCCAGTGCCTGAACCACTATGCCACCTGTTGGCCCCGGGCAATAACTGGCCTCTGTGCCTCAGTCTCCCTGTCTGTAGAATGGGTGACAACGGTCCACACCTCCCAGTGCTGTCGTGCAGATTAGATGCACGAGGCCTTTTGGAACATGCCTGGCAGGAACCAGCGCCCCAGCGTCTAGACTAGGCCCGCTTTCTGTTGCTGTTATTACTGTTGTTACTTGGGACGCCCTGGAAGGGCAGTGGAGAGTTTGGAGGAGCAGGTTAAGCTCTCCAAGCCCAGCCCCTCAACAATCGATAGTCCCACTGTGTCGCATAGGCAGCTCAGATCCCTCTCTGAGACCCTGGGCAAGTGGCAGCCCTCTGTGGGCCTCAGTTTTCCCATCACTGCAATGGGTTAGTAACACCCTGTGGGGAGGCAGGAGTGCTGCTTTTAAAGCACAGTGTGGGGCCAGAGGGGGCATAGTGGTTAAAGGCACTGGACTCCCATGTGGCTGACCTTGGTTCTAGTTCAGGACCTGACGGCTTTCTCTCTCTATCTCTATCTCTATCTCTTTTTTCTCTTGCTCTGTCATTCTCTGGTCAAATTTAAAGAAATAAACGAAGTTAAATAAGACAGTTATTAAAGTGCAGTGAAAATGCAGGTACGCGTTCTTGCATTCGCTCAGGCTGTTTTTCCCTCTCCTCTCTCTAGTACTCGAAGAACATCCCGGATAAGAACAAATACGACGGGTGGCCGGAGCTCCTGGAGCTGGAGGGCTGTGTGCCCCGGAAGGTGTTTTAGACTGGCTGTGCTCTTCCTGGGCCCAGGACCTGAACAAGCGCCTCCTGACCGCCGAGCCAGCCTGGGCTGCAGTGAGCTGGGCTGGCGGGTGCGGAGGAGGAGCAAGTGGCGTGGACAGGGCTGCTGGGCCTCACACTGTGGCGGGCTCCCCTCCTGGACCACGAAAGTCTCCCTGGGGCTGGGGTGTGCTCCTGGGAGAGGAGCAGCCTTGGGGTCCTTCTGGGGCCACGGAGAGCACAGGTATGCTTTGTCAGGGACTGCCGACAGCCCAGAAAGGACAGACTGCCCACAGTGAGCAGAATTAAACGTTTTTTACTTTTGCTGATTTTGAATGAGCTCTCTGACCACTTGACTTGCTGTGTTTCTCTCCAAGAGTGACTCAGACTAGACTCGGTTAGCATGGGCCACAGGCCGGACAGGCAAGTGGCCGCTTCAGGCTCTCCGCCGGGCAGCTGGTTCGAGATTTTGTTCAGGGACGAGAGCGTTCTTGGTTTTGGTGCAGCGTGTAAGGTGGACAGGAGCAGAGAAGGCCAGAGGACGGGCGCCGAGAACTGGCAGGACAGGCTGTTTGAGAGGGCGCTGGAGGAAATCCGGAGCTGAAGGTGAGAAGGGGACAGGGCTGAGACGGACGGGAAGGTTAGCAGACAGGCCCACCCGTGGCGTGATGGTTAAGGCAGCTGGAGCCCACATGGCGACCCTGTGGGTCAAGTCCTGGCCCGCGTAGCCTGAGAAGCATACCGGGCGCACGTGCGATGCAGAAAGTCCCAGAAGAAGGGAAATGGGGGGAGGGGGCACAGTCCTCAAGTCCTGGGGACAGGGATGTCTTCACTCGTGCCAAGAGGGCCTGAGGTAGAGAGGAGGACAGAGTGTGGGACCCTTGGCTGGATCCATGGCAGCCACAAAGGCAGTGCGGTCAAAATCCACACCCAGAGCCTGGTGGGACGGCTTTGAGCAGGCTGGGCTGAGGGCGTCTGAAGAAGGCACCCGGCCAGCCACCCCACCAATTCCATCCCCTCCTCCAGCCCCATCCCACCCAGATCACCCTCAGGGATAAGAGGGGAGTTTGCTGGGACCCCAAATAACTTACACTCATATCAATACAATAATATAATGCTTGGGAAAATATCCGGCCAGAAACCCACCCTGGGCTTGAAGGTGGCAGGAAATCTTCATTAGTACCATAAATACCTTTATTTTATTTATTTTTCTTTTTTATTTTTTTGGAGAGGCTTTTGCTATAGGGTGCATGCACTTGCCAGAAAGAGAGAGACAGAAAGCGAGAAATCACCCCCCAGGGGGAATGGTCATGCCGCAATCCCTTCTCCTCCATTCTCCTCTCGGGATGTTGGGACGCATGCACATGCGCCCGGCGTGAGTTTTAAGCCACCGGGTTTCGGGACGCAAACCACGGTCGACTACATGGGAGTCCAGCGCCATAGCCATTATGCTAACTGCTGGTACCCCATAAATACCTTTATATGCTTAAGAATTTTTGTTTACAACAAGCAAGAATACCTTATGTTTTAAAAAAAGAAAGAAAAAGAAGTACAGATTTCTAAAGTGGGGGCCAGTAGTTGGCATGGTGGTTAAGGTGCTGGACTCCCACGTGGCCCACCACAGTTCAAGTTTCAGACCTGGTGACCTGCTTTCCCTCGTCTCCCCGCGCTTCTCTCTGGAGGCACTGAAGAATAGTTATAATAAATAAAAATTAAATTAAGAATTCTTTACACAGTTTTTACAAGGTAAAACAATTCTAAAGCGAGTCTGTGGCCAGAGACAAGGCGACGTGAACAGCTCTTGGCGGTGGCAGTTGCTTGAAAAGACGCGGGTGGCCACCTGGGTGTAAGAGGAGGTGCCGCCTTGCGCAACACTGTGAGCTGTAAAGAAGATGGAGGGGCCAGGCAGTAGCACAGCAGTAACCCACTGGATCCATAGAGGAGAAGTCCTGGGTTCGTGTCCTGGACCCTCGCTGAGAATGCATGAGGACCCTGTTGTCTTTCTCCCGTAGAAGAACTGACTAAATAAATAAATACTTAAAAAAAATAGTTTTCCTGTTGCCAGATGGTGAATATGCTCACCAAAGAGAGAGAGAGAGAGAACACCCCCCAAAAGGGCATGGTCGTGCCACAATCCTTTTCCCGCCATTTCCCCATCCCATCAGGATTTGGGGCACACATGCACGTGGGCCAGCTGCACTTCTCAGGCTGCCAGGGCAAGGACTCGAACCACAGCTGGCCACATGGGATCTGGTTCCCTCTGCTCAGGGCTTAACTGGTGTGCTATGAGGTCAGTCCTAAATTTAAAAAAAAATAAAAAGGAAGACCGACGAGGTCAGCAGATGGTGCATTGCTGGACATGGCTGACGTGGTTTGGGGCCCCAAACTGGTGGTTTGAAACACCAAGCACTTGTGCGTGCCTGGCCCAAGATCCGGAGAGGAGAATGGAGAAGGGATTGCGGTGTGGCCATCCCCCTGGGGGGTGATTTCTCGCTTTCCCGCTCACTATCTCTGTCTCTCTCTCTCCAGCGAGCACATGCACCCTAAGGCAAAATCCTCTAAAAAAAAATTAAAGAAAGAAGACGACGACATGCCAGCTGGCTGAATCAGAGAACCGCAAGCCTAGAGGGCCGGGCGTGGAAAGACAGCCAGCGGAGCAGTGTCCTGCCCAGGCCCTCCTGGCGTCGCCCCCTAGTGGTCGTCCCGACTCCTCCCTGCAGATCTGCCCTCTGGCGCCTGCACCTTCTTTGCTCACAAGCGCAGAGAGAGGCCAGGCGATGCTGGGATGTCTGTCACCCATGGTGGCCGCGGCTAGGACTGTCTGGTGCAGGAATATAAAAGTCCAGCCCCGAGCCTGGGGGCGAGGTGTTCCTGAGGGTGATTAAACCCCTGAGCGGGGAACTGAGGCTGTCGCACCCCGCCCTCTCCCGCCTGCCCCTTCTAGCCCAAGTGCGGAGCTCAAGCCCAGCTGGCCTCAGTCCCACCTCCCAAACCCACCGGGGAGACCACATTTCTTCTTTAAAACTTTTTTTTTTTTTCATGAGAGTGAAAACTAGACAGAGACAGGGAGAGACCAGTGCCCTCGACGGGGTCCTACGCTGCAACTCCCCTCAGACCTCCAGCCAGTCAGGACCATGAGCCGCACGCCCGGCGTGTGCGGGTCAGCCGGGGACTCGAACCCACTGTCTTCCACGTGGAAGACCCACTGCAGCTGCGCATCGCTGCTGGCCCAGGAGACCCCAGTCTCCAGCCACACACTGGTCCTTCCCCGGGCAGGCCTCACCAGAGTGGCAAACACCGAGATTCTCCGCACCATTTTTAAGAAACTGTAGCCACGAGAGGCACCCCCAGGTCTGCTCAGGCTTGGGGAAGGGCAGCGGGCCGGGAATATGGCTGAGAGTCAGTGACCTCAGTCAACATTCTTACACCTGCTGTGCGAGGGAACTGGCAGGAACTGGAGATACTGAGGGGGCAGACCAAGCACAGCGCCCCCCTCAGCCTTGTAGGGAGTGCAGATCCAGAGGCCACATCCCAGCCTTGGGGAATCAGAGAAGGCCTCCTGGAGGAGGCAATATCTACACAGCACCCCTGAGAAAAACAGGAGTTGGCCGTGCAGAGGGGAGGGAGGAGGGTGCCAGGCCAGTGAACAGCATGAACAGGGTGGGAAAGAGCAGAGGGCAGGCAGCAGGGCTGAGTGGGCATGGTGGGAGGCTGGAGGGTGTTGTGAGCTGGACAAGAAGGGCATGGACCCTGTCCTGGGACAGTGGGGACATTGACAGGTTTAAGCTGGGGAGTGACATGACTCGATCTGGATTTTAAAAGAAACTCCTGGCTGTTCTGTGGAGAAGAAAGTGGAGGCAGGGAGGCCAGTGAGGAGGCCGCTACATCACCCAAGGATAGAGTGCGGTGGCCTGGATCAGGCGGGGTGTGCGGATGGAAATAGGGGACCTGTTGGGGGTACTCAGGAAGTAGAACGGACAGGACTTGGAATAATTTTCTCAGTGGGGTGGACAAGCTTTCGGTTCGGGAATGCCTGCAAGGGAATCACAGCCTTAGAATTTGGGGCGTGCATTCACTTCTCTCCACTCCCTGCCCGCGAGCGCCCCAACCCAAAGAGTGTGTGGATGGGGACATGTCTGTTCCTCAGCCACAGCCATCGCCATCGTCCCAGAGGCTGTAACGCTGGTCCTCACCAGTAGGTGGCAGCCCAAGATAGACCGGGGAGCGCGGCGAGGTTCCTGTGGGGAAAGGGCTGTCTGGGCCGGCCAGGGGCCGTGGGTTTATCCCGGGTTCCATTAGCAGCCGGAGGCCAGCCCCCTTCCATGGAGAACTGCCCTTTCCAGGCACTGCTCCGAGCGGCCATGGCTGGCCTCACTGCATCCTCCTAGCCCCACGGGGTGGGAACCGCCCTCACCCCCTCGTACACATGAAGACAGTGAGGCTCAGAGAGGCCAAGGGACTCGTCCAAAGTCACACAGAATAAAGAGCCTCAGAATAAGGGTTGAGGTCCCAGTCTGTCCCCATCACTACTGGAAACAGACTCTTCAGATGCACGTGCCCCAAAACTACTCAGAAGTAAGCACCGTTGCTCTCCCCCTACTCCGGCTGCACCCCTCCCTGCCTCCCCTCCCGGCTGCTCCCCCTGAATGGCATGGGGGGACTGCACAGGGCCTGAGTCGGCGTCCTCGACATCCCCGTCATGGCTCCGGGAGAGGTGACGAGGAAGTGCGTGTGAGACTTGAGGAACCCCGCCTTTTGTTTATTTTAAGTGTATCTCTTTCATAAGTCCGAGACAGAGACACCCACAGGGTCCCAGCGCCTCGATCCCCCAGCCTCAGCCAGCCCCAGATCACAGGCGTGCGTGCGCGTGCGCGTGTGCGTGTGCGTGCGTGCAGGGGGTCTCCAGCCAGGAAAGAGC